CACATATATAATATAATATATATATATATATATATATACTATATAATATATTATATATATATATATATATATATATATTATATTATATATAGTATATCATATAATATTATTATATATACATATGTATCAATATTTATATATAATTTTATATGTATAATCATATATATATATATCATATATATATATATGATCATATATATATATCATATATATATATCATATAATATATAATCATATAATATATATCATATATATATATATCTATATATACTAATATATATATATATGTATAATATCATATATATATCATATTATATATTATATGTATATATACATTATATATCATATATAATATTAATATATATAATATTATTATCCATTATATATATATATTATATATATTTATTGATATATATATTATTATATATAATATATATAATTTATATACTAATATATAATATATAATATATATATACATCATATATATATATAACATTAAATATATATATATATAACATTATATATATATATATATATATATATACATATATATTAATACCATATATAATATATACATACACCACACACACAGCACACAGCACACACACAACACACACACAACACACACACACACACAACACAACACACCACATATACTATATATATATATATATTAATATATATTAAATAGTATATATAAGATAATATTTATATAATATATTTATTTATATATTATATATATATATATATATAATATATATATATATATTAAATATATATTAATATCATATATATTTATATATATATATTACAATATATATTATATATATATATATATTACAATAATATATATAATAGTTTACATAGTATATATATATATATATATTATATATATTATTATATATATATATCAATATATATCATATACATATTATATATACATAATATATATAATGATATATATATTAATATATTATATGTATATATATATGTAATATGTATATATATGTATGTATATGTATGTAGTATGTATATTATATAATATATATATATATATTATTATATATATATACTTTTATATACAATATATATTATATATATATATATTATATATAATATATATATATTATATCATATATGTATATGTATATATATATATGTATATAGTGTATTATACATATATATATATATATATATATATATTTATTATTACACTATATATATATATATAATACATATATTATATATATATATATAGTATTATATATATATATACATATATATATATATATATACACATAATATAATATATAATAGTATATATATATATATATACAATATATAATATATATATATATATATATATATATATATATATATATATATATATATATTATATATATATATATATATATATATATATATATATTATATATTATATATATATAATATATATATAATATATATATAATATATATACACTATATATATATATATATATATATATATACATATATATATATATATATATATATATATATATATATATATATATATATATATATATATATATATATATATATATATATATTATATATATTATATATATCACATTCTCACTGCACTCTTCTAACTTTGTTTATATTTGGTATCCTTGTCAAAATACTGAGTTATTTTGACAGCCTCTACCTTGTTATATTATTATCAATAACAGTGGAGAACCATATTCTTATGTCTATCATTAAATATCTTATATATATAATACAGATTCTCTGCTAAAGCAATAATTCTCAAAGACGTGAGTAGGGGCAGAGACCATTTTTTTTTTTTTTTTTTTTTTTTTTTAAGAAGAGTACCCTCTATGTCCCCAGAAGGTAAACACATCATGCAGTCATTTTGGTAATATATACTATATTCAACAAAACTGATATGCACTCTAATTTCATTATTATATATTGTTGTCATAATTCAGGAGAAAAATAAATTCTCATCAATATTCAGTGTAAAACATCAAAACAAAAATATCAAATGCAGTTTGCAGTATAGAATTGTTGATTACTCATAACCAAATTTCACTTACTAATTTCAGCAAATTACATTTTGAAATATTTCACAAAAGCAAAAGCTTCTTGATCTGATTATATGAAACGGTTCTACCTAAAACTCCAAGCATCTTTGTCCTTCAGCATTATTTCATATAAAACATATACTTGTCATACAGTTGTAACTCTATATACAACCACTCATATTTGAGGTATCATGTAGGTGTCTGCCTTTCAAACCTGTTTTAACTCTTTAACATGATTAGTATTCTAAAACTGATCACATGAGAGAACTTTCATGTGATCAAGCCACTGACTAGACTGGGTACATTGCTAAGTCACATAACATTTACTTAGGTTTGCAAATTAAAAAAATATTATTTTCTCTTTTCTCTAGAAGTCTTCTCTCCAGTGTTACTAAGTTCCTGAGTTGATAAAAAGACCAGATATGAATTCACTTCTTCCTGATAACCTGTTTATTCTGAAGCATGTCATACTTAGAGGCATTTTATTATTGTCATTCAGTCTCTTGAAATATGAAAACAATTAAGCATTTACAAATTTACATGATCATGAACCTTTCCCCAATATAATTTCTCCCACCCCCTTTGGTCACAGGTATATATTTAAATACTAAACAATTACTTGCCATCATGTTACTAGACATAAAAACACATTTTTACTTTGCTTTCTTCAGTGTGTGATGTGAAAGCTTTTCTCTTATAGGGTTATTACTGAACTTTTAGATTGTTAAGCGTTGATCATGCTGCTTCCTATAAAATTCCTCCAAAATTAAATGTTACACATTGATTGAATGTATTACTTATGCACAGACCATACAAATAGTTGAATTCATTATTTATGTTATTTTAATTACACTATAAAATTTTCATCTCAGGAAATTAAACATTCCACTTGTTGAGTAATGCATAACAACTATAATAGCTTAACAACTACAAATCTCAGAAGACATTTGGTTCTGGGTATAAAAAGTAAACATCTTAAATCTGAAATTTATGGAGCATATACATACATATATACCATATTCATATACCAATCACAAATCAAAATCCTAATTTCAAAATGTTTCTTTTTCCTTTTTCTAACTTGACATCTTGGTTTATTGTAAATGATACAGAAAAGCTCTAAATACTTTATAGTGTCCCGCAGGCCTCTATCAATATGTCAAACCCAATAATGTGACATAAATATCTGAAATAACTAGTCATCATGTTTACTGGACATGTAAACAAAAACATTTGATAGACCTCCACAGGAATTCAGACATGCATCAACAACACCAGACAAGCAAAATATTATCAAACTTAAATAACAAATAGCTTCTAAACTCAAGGACAGACTCCTTGCATTGCAATTTTTGTTTCATTTATGACAAAATTATAAACTGAGTAAGAAAACATCCTCTGCAAGCCACCGAGGACCTGTGTAGCGACCTCACATCCCTGTCTGCCTTTCTCTGACCACTTTTGGCCCCAGACGTTTTGCTGTCTGGTCTACCTCACCAAGAGAATCAAAAACTTTGACCTCTAAGGAAACACGAGAAGCCAGGTCAGCTGCCAAGCCAACATCAATAGAATTTGACAAAACTAAAATGCCTCCACGGAGCTCAAACCACTTGGCCTTATGGATTTTTTCGCCTATTTCGAGCCTTTTCCAGTCCCTTTTCCTTCTGCCCTCTTCCCCCTCCGTTACGGAAAGCCCACACAAGAAATGCAATCTCCTACCTTGGTTCTCAAGTGTTCACAGTGTAACATAGAGCGAGTTGTTCGCCATCATCATCACTCGGTCCCTCTGCACAACACAAGCTTGGTTTCAGGACCTTAAAACAAATATTAATTTTTCCGTTTTCCTTTCGGATGGATCTCTTACTCTCTTCTCCTCGTCGATTTTTTAACGCTTTGGAAAAATATTATGAGGTAGGTAAATATTAACACAACAAATGGATCTTTTTTAAGACGAAAAGGGGAAGCAAAATGTATACAAACCCTAAAAGCACATTCTGATTGGTTGACCGCATCCCAGTTGGCCAATAAGAATGCGAGTTTGAGATAAGTATCCAGTTATGACGTCACTAAGTATGAGAGCGTTCTGATAGGTCAATCGTTTATTTCCTGGCCATTCAGAATGCAGCTTTCGGGTTAGAAAACCAGTTATGACCCTCATACCAAGTTTTCTTGTGCTGATTGGGTAGTTCGTAGGAATTCGCCCGGCCTATTCATACCTCGTAGAAGTTTGCGTTCTGCCAATCCGTTGAACCGGTCACCACGAGCGGGAGAGTCGAGGTCGGACGGAAGGAGAACGAATGAGCAGAAACGGCCCTCTTATCGCACGAGCCGAAGCGAACCCAACCAGGTCTCTAAGAGAAAAAACGGCTAGCACGGGGAGTTGAAGGGAATCACGATTGTCACATGATATAGGAAACTGAAGTGTGCTGAAAAAACGAAGATATAATAGCACAATACAGGAGATTAGGTATCTTGTTATTCCATTGGATGGACAGTTCCAACGGAGCCGAAGAACTTGGGCCCGACCCCAATGATTGTGACTTCGCCCAGGAGCAAGGGAGAAAAGAGGATGGTAATTATCCTCTTATTGTGTGTTGGGCAAGCGTTGTTCTTCCATGGACAAAGGTATCTCCAGTCAATAACCGTAGAAGACTAAAGAAGTCCGTGAATATGCCTATAATGCGTTACTAGGTAAACGTCCGCTTCTCTTTTCAAGCCCAAGGTTTGTTTCGAAATCTGAAATCTCGCAAGATCTAACCAAGAACTCAGTATTTTTTTTATTTATCACACGCATTGGTCATGAATTTCCAGTTTAAAATTAACAAAGTCAACTATCATCTTATCCGCATGTCAGCTGTTAATCATGTGTAAGAAGGAGAAACATACTTGACATGATCAGAGCTCCTCTTGGCTCGAAGGTGATATGTCCCGGCTAGTGGACCATCGATCCCCAAGGCCCAGACTGAATTTTAAGGTTGATCAAATTGATAAGAAAATGTAAGTTAAAATCAGCGTCGCATGTCTGCATAAGTAACTATATGAATAATGGGTATAAGAATCATATGTTAGATAAAGTAACAGATCCGTGGTATTATGGGGTGGAGTTGGTAGGAAGTAACTACTAGGAACTGTATATTATTATAGAGTGATTAATGTATATGATATATAGTATATATATAAAATTGTGAGTATATGTCGGTATATCATATATAATGTGTTCATAGTATAATATTATATATCATAGCGAGATATATCATACTCATCTGGTGATATGATCATACATATATACTATCATATGCGATATACATAGCAGACATGAAGTATAATATATATGGGATATTATAAGTTAATTATACAAGAATAATTATGGACTCATCTAAACTATATATGTACTATACTAATGTATCACTGCATTATATAGCTATAATGTATCAAACTGGTATATATACTTTATGTTGAGTATATCGTATGCCCTACTAAATGAATTTCTATACTTGTATACTTTCACTGAAGTATATGGGCTCTTTATATATATATGTATATATTGTATATATATATTTATGCAAATATATACGAATTTATATATAAACATAGACATGTATATAAATATGATACATGTTATATATACTGGGATATTAAATGGATATATACTCATCATATATATTATATATATATATATCGCTTGTGGGTGTGTATACTATAAAATTATATGGATATATGATATATGTCACTAATAATAATATATGGATAATATAGTCTATTATAATATCATGAGAGAATGAGTGATTATATATGCACTACTTAAAGAATAGACTATATGGACTCTATATAGGCCGCCTTGCGTATTGTATCTAATATATGGATATATATTATATATATCGGAACTATATGTTGTATATATATGGGGTGAAGGTACTATTGAGTATATGAATATATTATGGATATTATAGGTGTTATATGTAGGGCCATGGATCATGTATATTACTATATAAATATATGGGTAACTATATATATATGGATATGAGTATGAGGTGGTGATATATATATTATATGGACTATATATCGGGGATGGATATACTAGAATATGTATAGATATATTATATATGTAGGAACTATGTGTATATATAAGATGATATGATATATATGGACTAGTTATAATATATATGGCATATATGGTATTATATACTGGGATATAGATATTATATGGATATATTATTATATGGACCATAGTTATTATGGATATATATTATATCCAATGGATATAATCTATGGATATGATATATCATATATGGATAGTATTATATATATGGAGTATATATTGCATATATATGGGGTATATATGGTATATATATGGGGATAGGTGATCACTGTATATATATGATAACTTATATGGAATATATATTATATGGGATTATATAAGTATACCATGCGATATATATATATCTATATTAGGGTAGTAGTATACTATATCCCATATATATATGGAGATATATATATATTATATAGTAATATATATATAGTATACTATATATATATAATATCACCAGGCTGTTATAGGGTATATATGTAGGTATATTATATATATATATATGTGTTATATTATATTAAAGCTCAGATATATGTATATATATAATGTATTATAGTTATTATGTATATATATATATGTACTATAGTATATGTACTATATATATATGTATTATATATATGTATATATATATATATATGATACATGTATTATATGACTATAGTATAATAGTATATATATATATATATATATAATATATATGGGTAAATTTCATAGGTATATATATATTGTATATATAATGTACCTAACGTATATATGGTATATAGTATATATTGTATACTATATACTGATGTATAATAGATATATATAGTATTAGTATATATGTACTATATATATGTATAATATATATGTATATAGTATATTTACAGAGTAATATGTATATAGTATTATGTAATATATTATATGTAGTATATAGTATTTATATATATATGGTATATAGTATATGTTATATATTGGTAGTATATATATGTTATTATACATATAATAGTATATAGTTACTATATAGTATATTATATAGATAGTATATAAACAGTGAAAGAAAAGAAGGGAACATGTAGAGATACGGGAGGGAGAGGGGGGAGGGGGGCAGGAGCGGGGGGGCGAGTGTGGGCGGGGTAAGCTGGATGAGGGAGAGTCATAAAGCCGGCGCGAAGATCAATGGAGACGTGAACCGACAGACCAAAGGAGATAGAAACGAACACGAGAACAGAACACGAGACCACACATAACAGTTAAAGCTTCGGGTAATGGAGAGGGAAAAGTGCACAGATGCGGAATTATGCTCCATTCGGGTCGTTTCAAAGGGGTTTATCGGGTTAACAATCGTCCGGCTCGTCCCCACGCAAAC